AAACTGTTTGAAATTCTTCAAAGAAACTGCCAAAGTTTCTGTAACATTTTACATTCAGATAAGCACCGAAGGGGAATACCAGTTCTTCCACATTCTCACCAACATTTGGTATGGTCAGTCTTTAAGCCATTCTAACAGGAGTGCAATGTTAACTCATTTTGACTTAATTTACACTTTCCTAGTGACTAATTAGGTTAAACATCTTTTCATGTGCTTATCTGACAGTTATATATTTTCTTTGGGGAAATGCTTGCACAAATCTTCTGCCCATTTCTAAATTGAGTGATTTCTTTATTAATGATTTTTGAGATTTATTTATTCTAAAGAGAAATCCTTTATCAGATAAATGCTCTATTTACAAAGATTTTATCCTAGGCCGTGGCTTGCCTTTTTACTCTCTTAGCGATCTTTAAAAAGGCAGAAGTTTTTAATTTTCATGAAGTCCAATTTCTTTTATGGATTGTTGTATCTAAGAAATCTTTGCTTTACTCAAGGTCACAAAGCTTTCTCTCTTATATACATATTTTTAGAAGTTTAATCGTTACACATTTTATAATTTAGGTTTTTGACCCATTTCCAGTTAATTTCTGTATGTGATGCAAGACACAGATCACAGTTCATTTTTTTTTTTTTTGCATATGGATATCTAATTGTTTCAATATCACTTATCGAAGACACTCTCCTTTTTCCACTGACCTGCCTTTGCACTCTTCTCAAACACCAGTTATCTATACACACGAGTCTATTTTTGGATTCTTTATTCTGTTCCGATCTATAGGTCTGTCTTTATGACAACACCTCACATATCCTTGAGTACCGCAGCTTTAGAATAAGCTTTGAAAGCAGGGATTGTCGGTCCTTCAACTTTGGTTTTCTTTTAAGATAGTTTTGGTTATTTAAATTCTTTGCATTTTATTGGTCAATTTCTACAAAAAAAGCTTGCTGAATTTTTGGTTGGCAATGAATCACCATATTTAGCAGGCATTGAGAATTTTACAATATTAAGTCTTCTAGTCCACAAATACAGTGTATATCTTTCTTTACTTAGGTCTCTTTTAATTTCTCTTATGAATATTCTGCAGTGTAATAACTTGTACAAGGCGCAGGTCTTTCACATCTTTTGTCATACTTATCCTTATATATGGTATATTTTGATGATAGTGTAAATATTATTAGTTTTTTAAATTTCAATTGGGATGTTTGTTGCTAATACATACAACTAATTTTTAAATACTAATCTTAAAACTGAAACCTTGATAAAACTTACTTATTAATTCTACTAGTTTTGCTGAGGATACCACCGAGTTTTCTACACGATGCTCAAGTCATCGGTGAATAAAGACAGTACTATTTACTCCCCTCTACATCTAGAGCCATTTTATTTCCTTTTCTTGCCATATTACAAACTGGTTAGAGCCTCTGGTTACAATATTGAATAGAAGCGGGGAGAGCAGACATTCTTGCAAAGATATGCTAAAAACCAAGCTCACCCTTCTGTTTATATCCACTAAAGAAAAAATGTCAATAGCCACTGGATGAACAAATATAAATGGATGATGAGATACGGGGAAATAGTCAAGCAGTATCTTCAACTGTTACAGAAAGAAAAAATCAGCCACCCACTGAGCATAACAAAACAGTGGAAAAGTTGATAACAGACATTATCTGATAGGACCATGTAATCAGAACTTAACTGAACAGAGCAGGAAAAGTCCTTCATTTAAGAGACTGTTCCAACACTGTACTTTTTTTTTTTTTTTTAAGCCTGGCCAGTGTTCTCATAAACATTTAATTAGCACTTACTAAGCTATTCTAACACTGAGGGACCAAAAGGAAATCTGCAACTTTTAAAAGAATTATTTAAAATATTTTATGCAAATTTTATAGGTGGTATTTGGATGAGAAATTCAACGGTTCTGTAAACAATGAGAAATCATTGTTGAAAACCATTCTCTCAATGAAGTCTTCACTCATCTATTAATTATGAAGTGTAATGAGGACTTTTCACTACTTATCTTACCTAATTTCTCCACAGTACTTTAAAATAATGACTACTTCTACCATGTTTGATGCTTTTCCTGTCCACTGGCTCCCAGAGCATTACTCAATCTTGGCTCTCCCACTGATTTTTAGATTACTTTTCCTTGATTTCCTTCCTTGATCCCAGGGTCTGTCTTTAGCTATCCTCTTTGTGACTTAATTCATTAACATATTTAAAGAGTTAAAGCTCTATTTACTTAAAGGGGACTCCCAAATTTATATCCCAATCCATGATCCCCTTTATCTGATGACATCTGGGAGTCATGGATGACACAGTCCTTTCTCTCAACCCTATTCATCTAATAAATAACTAAATCCTGGGCTTTATGCTGAAATAAGTCCTTTTTTCTCCAAACCCCACTGATATAATCAGGTTTTGTTGCTTTTTTTCTTTTTGCTTAGACCCGGTCGGCCAACTTCTGCAAAAGACCCTGTAGTAAATATTTCAGGCTTCTTATATTAACATGATAAGAAAATGTCATTAGGCAGTCCTGAAGGAACAGTGCTACGCTGGAGGCAGGACACTATGGTCACTAACTAGGAGGTAGCTGTGTCCTTTCAGATGAAAGATGGTGCCAGCATCAACTCAGGTAGAGGCAGTGGGACTCATGGCACAGGCATACACTGGGACAAAAGCAAGCACACAGACTGATACAACATGATGCTTCCCTGGTTCCGGGATTAGGCACCTAATAGGCAGTGGTCCCATTTACTAAGAAAGGAAACATAAACAGAAGTTTGGGAGTGAGATGAGGAGGAGGACATGAGTAGTTCTGTTTTTAAAATGTTGAACTTCAGGTGTCTGTAAGACATCTACGTGAAGTATATACTCAACAGCTCAACATGGAGCCCAGAAAGGATGATGGCCATGACAACAATGGTAACATTTACTGAGCTTTTATTCTAGGTCAGGTAATATTTTAAGCATTTTATACAAATTAACTAATTTCATTCTTCCAATAACCCTAGAAGGTGGACACTACTATTTTTTAGAAGATGAAAATTTTATAGAAGATGAAATTAACACACAGAGCAGTTTCATAACTTGCCTGAGAAGATAAACTGGTAGTTGGTACAGCTGGGATTGGTAATATTCCCTGAGTCTTGGGGCCATGCTTTAAACATTAGGCTTCACTGCCTCTCCTGACATGTATTTGGGAATTGCATATAATTTGGAGGATTGGTGAAGACACAGGAATGAAAGAAGGTACAGAGTGAAAGAAAAGGATGAGGGCTTGGGAACATTAACATTTCAAGGAGAGAGGGACCATCTGTGAATAAGGATGCAGGGAAAAAGGATAAAGATGACCAGTGGTTTTGGTGCGAGTAGCTTTAGCTGTCAGAGTGGGGTTTGAACAAGACAGGAGTAATTTAAGGTGTATAAAAAATGGAGACAATGAACGTAGAATGTAGATCACACTAAAAAATTGTGGTTGTTAAGGAGAAGAGAGAGAAATGTAGGCTTTAGCATGTTTAAAAGTTGATGAGTTAGAGCCAGAAAAATGGGAGAGGAGAAAGGTGAAAATTGCTGAAGACAAAGTCCTGAGGAAATGGAAATATATTGTGTAGTTATCAGTGGTGGCTCTATAATTAAAATGTTTAGATTAAAATCCAGCCTCTGCTACCTATTAGTTGCTTACCTTGGAAATGTTATTTAATCTCTCTAAGCATCAATTTCTTTACCTCCAAAATGGGCATAATACTATTATCTCCTTCTTATATATAAGGCTTAAACAAGATAACACAGGGAAAAGCAAGGATATAGTTAGGTGCTTAGAAAACATTAGCTATTATTATAATTGGATCTGGACCACAGGTAGAGGGGCTACTCTTCATTAAGAAGAGACACATTTTTTTATGACAGAAAAGGACGAAATGATAGGAACAGATGGCAGGTAAGTCTGGGTGAGAGGCAGCTTTTTACTGATGTTTTTCAATGTTCTTGGTTAAGAACAAGGCCAGGCTGACAATTGGAATGAGGAGCTGCTAGTAGGACCGGGCTTGGGGAGAGCAGAGAGCTTTGCTGGGACACTATCCAGTGAAATACCAGGGGGGCCCTCAGCAGAGAAAGCTCCATGAGCCTGCTTAGAAGGCCAAAATGACATGTCTCTAAGACTTCTCCATCTGTGTTCAGCAACCCAGATACAGGAATGAAGAAAGCAGAGTGATGAAATTATCTCATGATCAGGGTTTGATGGGCAAGTGTGATAAAAGATTAAGAGACCATAGGTTATTTTCAGCATTAACAGCAGTGACTAAAGTGATAGAATGTGGGTTTTAGGCTGGATAGGGAAGGAAATAAAGACCAAAAAAAAAAAAAAAAATAAAAAAAAGAGAGAGAGAGAGAGAGAGAGAGAGAGAGATGATAATTTCAGAAAAAGTAAAAGGACCAAAGGAGTGCATATTGATGAAGTCAAGATGCTGGATTAGGTATTAAGGATATTCAAAGAACGAGATAGCTATATTCTAGCTCTTACAAATCTTGCAGTCTAGCGTAAGGAAAATTAAACAAATAATTAGAATTAAAAACGTCACAAAGATAGAGACTAAAATCTTAAGGGGGTACAATGCAGGAGTACCTACTAGTTGCAGAATTGGTTGGGAAAGGTTTTCTATGGAAGTAATTGTTAAGCTGAGATCTGAAGGACAAAGAGAAATTAGCCATGAGCAGAGAAAGGAAAGTATACTCTGTAACAAGAGCATGAGCAAAGCCCAAACAAACACAGAGTATGAAGAAGCAAGGACTGAAAGGCTTGTATGACTTGCCTATAAAGACATTGGAGTTTACATGGGACCAAAACATTAGGACCACAACTCACTATCACTTAAAAGGAACAGTAAGCAAAGAAATCAGCAGTCACAGTGGTGATAGTAAGAATCAAGATCTTGAAATATAGCTTAATATGCTGGCATGCAGTGCACTAAAATTAAAGATTTAGCTAAAAAGAAACACACTGTACCTTTGAACGAAATGTTGGATGAACAAAATAAACAGCCTTCAAATTCCTCTTGTATCTGATTTGAAATAAAAACAAGGGTCAGTATGTCATGCTATGGACAATTAACTCTGCTAGAGTATAGAAATATATTCACACACAAAAAAGTTAAAAGTAGCTCTAGTTCACTTATTGAATTTTAGGTGAAATGTCAAAAAATGATTCAGAGAACTTTTCATTATTTAAAGTATTTGTTTTATAAAAGATGTTGTTTCTCTTGGCTGTGACAGAGCCACCTACAGGTAGAACAAAGTAATTTCATATTTAACAAACACTGTGTGCCATTTTTTTATACTGCATAGAATCTCTGGGACCAGACTATGAACTAACATACTCATGGGTCACTGGGTCAAATAAAATAATATTTATAAATGTATTTTGATAAAAGTTACACATCTTATTAATAAAAAAGGTAGTATTTTTGTTATTTTATATAAAGATTGGTAATGATCCCAACCCTTTTTCAAGATGTTTTTTAAAAGCAGGAAAAAGTTTACATATGAATTTCCTTAGATGCAAAACACGCTGGAGTTAAGGAGGGCCTCCTCATATTAAAATATCTTCTCTATATATGATAAAATTCTGTTACAAGAAATACATTTTTTTTTGTATAATACTAAGCAATATTTGTTTATTGATTAGTATTAGGAAAGAAAGAAGCTATCTCCCCTCTTCATAATTTGCAAAAATAACTAACTTGACATCAACAACATCGTAGAGCTTCTTCAGGAAGTCAGAGTCCAGGTGATTGTATTCGCTGGTCAGTGTGTGAAAATACACTAATACATATTCTTTCACAGCAATGTGATCCATTACATGGATAAAATATAAGAGAGCCTAGAAGAAAAAGAGAAGTAAAAGTAAGATCACAGTGGTCTATTTCACAGAAGCCAAGAATGAGGCAAAACCCAGAAGATTAACCTCATCAATGCCCCTGGCACTGCAGACAGACAACTCAGACTAAGGAGTATCAATTCTCTTTTAAAAGAACTTCAGGAAAGTGAACCATGCCAGTGTTATGTAATTCTCAGAAATGGTACAGTAGGATCCATTTTTGCCTTGTTCTTTCTAAATGGTGGAGAACAATCAATCTCTATCCTCTCAAATAACTCTTCCTCTACTCAAAAGAGTTCTTTAGTCAGCTGCCAGGTTTTCCCTCTGTAGGAAAATGATATTAATATCATTAGAAGTACAATTTGTAGACTTCTGATCTTTCCTGAGGATTCCACATGAACTCAATGAAAATCTTTGCAGTCTCTACTGGGATATAGACTTAGGTCTCTCACGTAACCAAGAACTGCTATACAAGGACATTATGAGTGATGCCTCCCTCCCATGGCTCACTTTGAGGACTAATTTTTTTGGCATCTTTAACGTTGACCTGAATGAGACAAATGAGAACAGGTTTAGTCAGTAGATGGCAATGGACTGGGCAGCTTTCGAAGGCTCAAATTTAATGTCATCCAGATCACATCAGAGAAATAAGTATTAGAGAAATAGTCCATTACAAGAAGGATGAAATGTAAGAGAAACATTAAACACAAAGCAGAGATACAATATGGGCAGGGCCAGGATGACCCAGTGGTGTGCCTATAAACAATGACATAGAGGAAGCTAAGAGTTTACAACTGAAAGATTATTATCAAACAGGCGATTTCCCAGTTCTCCTCAGGAGAGTCCTTGGCACTGACAGGAGTGGACTGAGACGAATTAGCTTCCAACTACTGGCAGAGCTGACAGAGGGCACTAAGAAAACACAGTATCTTTCCAGTTTGTTGGTTTGGGCCTCACAATATATCTCATTATATTATATGAAATGGTACATAGTGGATATTCAGAACACCAAGCAAGGACACACCAAAATCAAACTCAGAGATTCATGTTTTTATTGGTTATCAATCATATTATAAGGAGAATGAATCAATGTCATACTGATTGTTATTAACACAAAACGAGTAAAGTAGAAACTTACTAATGATATCATTTGCATCAGCTGAGTTTTTCCTCTGTGTGTGTGTGTATTTTTGTTATTATTTCTGCTTTTACCAGACTGCTTCTGGTCCTCAATTTCTATCTACTCTCTACACCCTCCCCAGGGCAATTAAAATACTCATTTCCAGCTTTAAATTCCCCATCTTTAACTTAACCTTTTTTCATTATAAGGAAGTATAAGCCACATGACAGAAAAATGGAGAAAACAAATTCTCCCTAAAACCATTAAATCCATTTAGAAATATTTACATTTTGAGTTTTTACCTTTATGCTTAAAACAAAGCAAGTTAAGGTCAGTGTGTAGGCAGCTTAATGTATCACTTTCTCTCCTACCAATATTATGTTATAAGTATTTCTCTACAGTACTTGTCTTTAGAACCATAATTTTTAAGGGTCACAAACCATTCCATTTGTGGATACACCATAATTACCTGTTAGGAATTTAAGTTCCAATTCTATGCTACAAATGAGCCTGTGATAACATGCCAGGTCCAGTGCTTCCACAATTTTTTTAATGTAAACACCACTGACCAGGAAACTAAGGGCTTAGCCAGAAGGAATTATCTGCTTTTGTATAACTGCGTTTTATGTTAAAAAATAGGTGCGATTTTTACATTTTTAAAGGGCATAATTTGTTACTGTAGTTAAGAATAATTTATTAAAGTGATTCTCCTCTCTTGCAGTCAGTTTCTAATAATACTGATATTCTAGGACAATTTACATATTTATCTTTTAGATTCAATGGTCCCTTGCCCAAGTATTCCAATTTGGGCAGTTTCAGGGTCAACAGCTACTTCCATACTTCAGATTATTTCCTTAGTACAAATTCTGAAGAACTGAATTCTTGAGTCAATGGATGTGACCATTTTTATCATTTCGATTCCTCTTTGATGACAATGATTATTATTTGAGATTTCTGGCTAGTTTTGAAGGCAACAAAAGGTCTATCATTCTGATTCGCTTATTTTCCCCCCAGATTACTAACCGTTTTTAAAAGCAGAATCATTTTCTTATTTATTTTGCCAGAAATACCATTTTTTCTTTTATGAATCGGCTATTTCTGTCCTTCGCTTCCAAATGAAGGGATTGTGGCATTATGACATTTTGGGTTAACTACATCCCTGACTTCTTCTCTTCAGATAGATATTCAAGAGTTAATTTTTCTTTTTTCAAGAAAAGCAGTATTCGAATGTTAGCACAATTATAACCCAGAGTGATTCCAACCCAAAACTTGCCAGTTGTGTCATATCTGAAAGAGAGCAGTTGCGTTTTTGATCACATTATTGGATTCTAGTATTTTTTGTTCCTCCTACAGAACCAAACCAAACCCCTTACTGAAATGGTATGTGCCAACATGCAGAGCCAGGGTCGCTCCTCTGCCCAGATACACACAATTCTGCCCCATCTCATATTCTAAGTTCTGATTCCAAATTCATACCCTACTAATCATGAAAATCAACATTATATGTAAAACAGAGCCTTTCTGTGGCTTACCTTGTCCATATCTATTAATGTGACAGGAATGTTTCTTCCAACTACCACCATCACTGTGCGACCACAGTTATCAACACCTGTGAACAGGAAATGTGATCAGTGCCCAGAGACTTTATTCCAAGACAGGACTCTGATGTTAGAAAAATACTCTACACAAATATAAAAGATTGAAAATCAAGAACTTAACAGTTTTTTAAATTTTATCTTCAGATGTCTTTCACTATGTGGAAAACAATACTATTTTTTTTTTTTAGCTTCATTAAATTTTGATGACTGCCCTTACTATTAAGATAAGTTTTCTTACAGGTTTTAAATCAGGGACAGCCAAAGGTAGGCTGCAGGGCACAGACCTTTTATACATAGCTTTTTGCTTAAGTTCGCTATGATTTTTAATAACATTAGTGATCCAGGAAAAACTACTTGGAACTCAACTCTGAAAATTAACAAGTACTGTCTGAAAAAGAAATTTAATGTGGTAAGGAGTGGAAATCTGAGAAATTTCACCATCTCCATCATATGTTTATGTAAGGTTTGAATTTTGTACAGCAAGTGGATGACATTTTTAAAAGCAGAAAAAATGTTCAAAGGTAAGAAAAAGGATATTAAGAAACAAAGTTGGCCAATGTAGAACTGTAAGATGAAAATCTGTAGGCTGATGTGTTATTTTTACAATCTTGACAATGAGCAAAAACTATCCCCATTAGTATAAAAATTACTTTTTTCACAGATAAAACAAAATCAGAGAAAAATGAAGTTTCTAAGAGCATGCGAGAGAAGGTCCTTAATTAGTAAAAAGTTACTATGTCCTTAAGCTCACCTGTTTGGTATAAGGCTTTTAGAGAAGCAATATCAGATAGATCCTCAGATCTTGCTTGACATAACCAGCGATTGTAACTAAAGAAATAAAGGACATAATTATTAAAATAACCCCTTGTAAATTAAATTTACAAATGGAATCTGTTTTTATCTTTCCCTTAAGAATGGGATTTTATTATAATGTGCAAGGAATTAAGGAGGTCATTATACTATGCAGAAACTCTACTAATGTGTTATTGATAAATACAAATGAGTTACCGAGTAACTGAGAAAGGATGGTGTTCATACGAAACGATTTAAAAAAATCCTTTATGATAAAGTGAAGACTATTCATATAAATGGCAAAGATACCAAGTACTCAATTTAAGTTTTCAAATACTGTTATTTTCCTTTACTAAAAAACATGCAAATAGGAAATCTTAAAGCAAAAGCAGTTATCTAAAACAGATGTTCACTCATCCAATAACAACTTGGTTTTGAGAATCCTACAGTGAACAGACACGGTCAGTGCCCTCAAGGAGTTTACTTTTCATAAGAAAAACAGGTAAATGTTCAACATGTTATGTGGGACCACAAAGGAACTAGGTAATTTTATGCGGGAAGTCCAGGCTTATTTAATGATTGGTTAATCACACCAGCTGCCCCGATAACGCATATAGCAGATCCTAGGGACTGTAGCCTGGCTTTAGCCAAGAGGGCATTAAAACTAGAAGAGACGTTAAAGATTTCAAAGAGGGTAAATGACCTGCAAAAGGTTGAGCTTATCTTAGTTACCAGCCAATTATTGGTGGAGCTGAATTTGAAGCTGTACTCAGATCACCAGATTTCTGAAAAGGTTAGTATTTTTTCTACTATTTCATACCGCTTTCTTAAAATTCAAAGGGCCACTCATTTGCAAAAAAAGCTTTCAAGGCACTGAAATAAATGCATGAAAAGCAACTTTTTTTTCAAAGATTTTATTTATTTATTTGACAGAGAGAGATCACAAGTAGGCAAAGAGGCAGGCAGGGGGTGGGGGGGAAGCAGGCTCCCTGCTGAGGAGGGAGCCCCTGATGTGGGGCTCAATCCCAGGACCCTGAGATCACGACCTGAGCCAAAGGCAGAGGCTTAACACACTGAGCCACCCAGGAGCCCTGAAAAGCAACTTTTGAAGCATCTAGGTCACATAGGGCAACATCCCATAACATAAGGAAAACTAAACCAGGAGGGGGTGACTTGGTTTCTAATCCTATCACTTTCTGCGCAACCTCAGTAAGTAAAGCTGTTTCACCTCTATGGACTTGCTTCCTCATTTGCCAAGTGGTGCTTATGCAGAACACTTCTCAGCTATAAAGCACAATTACACAGCTAAGGATATTTAATAGGAAGCCTATTACATTTGGATTGTAATCAACAATGCCTGCTAGTGTCACAGAAATTGTAACTGCCTGTAAAAAAAATACTTGGTATCACATAGTTCCACAGTTTTCCTTTTTAAATTTGGAAACTTGGGGAACCTGGGTGGCTCAGTCTGTTGAGTCTAACTCTTGATTTCGGATAAGACCATGATCTTAGGGTCGTGAGATCAAGACCCAAGTTGGGCTCCGTGCTGGGCGTGGAGCCTACTAAAAAGATTTTCTCTCTCTCCCCTTTGCCCTCTGCCCCTATCCCTTTCCTTTAAAAAAAATAAAAATAAATAAATAAATAAAAAGAAACTTGCCCACCAATGTAAATTGAAAAATCAAAGAGAAAACAGCTTTAAATTTTGGTTTAAGACACAATTTGCAAGTCAAGAGAAGACCTATGTTTATGGTAGTTCTCCTTATTTGTATGTTCTGTTCCTATTTTTACATGGAGTCACTTCCTTGGTTATTCACACTAAATTCCCAATCGTCCTGTTTTCTAATTGTCTTATGATTAAGTCGTCTTCACAACAAGATTGAACAGAATGCATTTTAAGTGGCTTATAAGCATCATAGGTCCTAGCACAAATCATGCAACAGGAATTCAGTAAATGTCGGTTAATTTCTATACTCCATTCTTGGATTCATTAGCTCATTTCTCAATGATGTACTGTGTTCATGCAAGGGCCTGCATCATAGTAGGGACTCAGATCTTTGTTTAATGAAATAGTAAACATGAATATTATTCAAGATATTTGGGGGGGCATCTGAGAAGGATAGCAAAAGGTCCTTGGCTTCAAAGAGCTTAAAGTTGAACATATCAGGTAGACACATAAAGAATTAACTCTGTGATAAGACACAATGAAACAAGCAATCCAGCAGAGGTCTAAATATTCTATCCCTATGCCAAGGGGAGGAGAGGAGGGCAGAGTGAGGGGGAGTGGAGTGGAGGCAAGGTCCAGACACGTGGAACTAACTGCTCCCCCTTCTTTGCACCATAAAGATTAGCACAAGGCTTCACCCACTTACAGCCAGTGTTTGCTTCTGCTCTTAGACAACAAAGAGGGAATGCATCTTATTTGTCTCTATATGTCCAGGCAATCTCCAGGGTTACTCCTGATGCTGAATAACAATGTGTTCAATGAACTCTGAAAAAATTGTTTTTCAAACTGGAATTCAGGTGCACAAAACAGAATTAACCTTGGTTCAAAACACTCTCATCATGGGTACACACATGGTTTTCTTTAAAAAACTGATTATCTAGGGGTGCCTGGGTGACTTAGTCAGTTAAGCACCTGACTCTTGATTTCTACTCAGGTCATGAGATTGAGTCCCAGTCTGGCTCCGCCCTCAGTGGGGAACTGGCTTGAGAGATTTTCTCTCTCTCTGCCCCTCCCCCTGCTCTTGGGCATACTCCCTCTCTCTCTAAAATCAATCTATCAATCTTCAAAATGTTTTAAAAACTGGTTATCTAATTAGTTATTTTTAATGAAGTAATAAGCATTCTGAAACCTACTACCCCAAAAAAAGCTAGCCCAGCAATAATCTACCTCTAATCTCATGGTCATTCCCCTTTGATTCTAGCCCCTGCCCCCATAACCAGTCTCTAGAATCGCCCACCCATCATTTTCTTTCTTCCTTTTTATATCCTTTTGGTTCATCTGATGTACTCCTAAAAAGTTTTTTGGAAAAAATTTATTATACTGTATGCAATCTTTTGGGTCTGACTTGGATTTACTAGACTGCTAGCATTGGGTGGCAATGCTGTTCATTCACTTTGACAACTACATGATCTATCTGTATCATATGGAAACTACAGTTTTTTTAAACCACTCTCTTACTGGTAGGTACCTGGGACTGTCCCCAGGTTTTTGCTCCTGTGCATAGTGCTACGATCAACTTATTGATGTTACTGATCAACTTACTGATCATTGAACATGATACATGTTTCCTGGTATATGTGTGCATGATTTCTCTTGGGTAGATACACAGGAGCTGAAGTGCTAGGTTATAGGTATATTCGGTTTTAGGAAATAAGACCAGACCTCTTTTCCAAAGTGGTGTACCCATTTATACTTCTACAAGCAGTGAATATGAGATCCTGTGAATCCATGTCCTTCTCAATACTTGGTATCAGCAGATATTTTAACTTCTGCCAATCAGGTCTGTAATGGTATCTCATTTCTTTGGTCACTAGTGATGCTGAGATCCCGTTCATGTTCAATGGACATGTTTCCCTCTTTTGTGAGGTGCCTGTTCATATTGTTTATTTTCTATAGGCCTATTTGTTCTTTTCTTACTTGTAGGAATTCTTGGTATAGTCTTGATAGTAATCATTTGCTAGTTATATTTACTTGGAGTACTCCCATTCTATAATTTGCTTTTCACTTTCTTTAAGATTCATTGCCCCACTTGCCAGTGTTCTTAATTTTAATATAATCAAAGCTATTTTTTCTTTTATAGTCAATGCTTTTTATATCTTGTTTAAGAAACCTGTCCTTTCTCCAAGGTATAAAAGATACTAGCCTATAGCTTCTTCCATGAGTTTTAATAAAAAAAAAAAAATTAAGTCCTTAATCTATCTAAAATTGACTGTAGTCCACAGCGTGAACTCTGAAATACCATCAACTCTAAAATGTTTTGAACCTTGATCTGTGATTAACAACTTGAGATACTAGAATAGATTTTGGTTGGCAAAAGCAACATCTATGCAAGCATGTTCATGGGGAGAAGGCTTATAGCTTACATGAGAATTTTAATGGCTTTATGATTCAAAAAAGGTTTAGTATCATTGCTGAGACACTGGTGCTGCTCCAGTTTCTAAGGATTGAAATGAAGTCCAGGGCAGCAACTCAACACTGTCAGCTTCATCTGGTTTCTTCTTTATTAAGTCTCCTCCATGCCCACTAGGATCATGTAAGCTTGATTTGATTATCTAGTTAATTTTCTCTTCTTTTAAATAAGTATTTGGGAGGAGGGAATAAAAGCAAAAAATTCCTCAGCCAGTAGAGAAAAAATGCTTCATTTCCTTCATCTAGTCAGAAAATATTTTAAAATTTCCATTATATCTCTTATAAACTGCACCTCATTTTTTTGCTGTTGCTTCTGCATTTTATTTCTAAAGATATGTAAGCTTTTATCCCAATCCAACAATCAAAAGCTAAAAAAAGGAAAACATCAACTCAAAATAGTTTCTTGTTTTCTTAGAACTTATTCCAAATAAACAGATTTCTATTACTTGTTGGGTAAACTAATAATCATAGGTAAACAGTCACACAAATTATGGCAAAATGGCAGCAAATGTGGCCACTACAGAGCTCTGAAGGTAGAAATACAACATAGTTTCTCAACAGGCTGCAATCAACTAAGGTTGGTTGCTGTCCTCATAAAGCTAGTAAAAGGCAATCTCTTCCAGTTAATCAATTACTGTCCACATGCATAGTCACAGGTTGAATGATGAAGAAAATTTACCCTAAAAACTCTTAAAAGACTAATGACTAACCTACTTGTGTACAACCAATAGCCTGGGTTTTGGAGTCAACAAAAGTTTTTCCCGGCCTTAGGCAACTGCCCCACCCTGACTTAGTTAGGACCCTTGTTGTATACTTACTGCATCCTATAACTTAAATAAGTTATTCATATAATAATCAGTTTAACATTCCTCTCCTCTGCAAGATTCTAAGCTCCAGAGGGCTG